TGATGCCGTGAAAAGCCAGAGTTGAAGACTCAATAGTCGGCAGACTATTAAGCAGGTATTCTTTATTGCGGCGCCGGGCACACGGGGGATCTCTCCTCCAAACGTGTGCACCGAAGAGACACAGTTACTAGGTATTTATGCTATGTTAACATACATATTCATTACATTTGCAAGAAATGTTTATCATAGTAATGGCTTTTCCGAGAACTCATTAATATATGGTAATGTCTGTCGCACATGTTTGTTTGGCGTCTCTCGGCAGGGGTCTTCAGATTATCTTGCAGCCTCCTTATCTCTGTAGTTTGCATACCTGTTCTCCCAAGGCCCAGGCGCCTAAAGGGATTATTCAGGCATCCCTTGTCTTGCAACCGTCCCAATTATTCACAAAGAACCAAGACTTGTTTCTGACCACCTGAAGTGATACCATCCCCTACATGTTACATTTGTTACATTTACAGTTATCAAGGATATGAACTATAGCCTTTGTATCAGTGTAGTTTTGCCATTACTTCATCATCTTCTGCCTGGAGCATGTTGAAAATATAGTTGACTCTAACAGTAACTAAAATGGCAGTTTTTAGCAGTCAGTGAGAGCTGACTCTCCTGTTTTTGAAGTACCAGAAGTGACCAAATGTAATGTTAAAGCAAATGCTTGCCAATGTCTGAAATAAAAATGCAGCAAAACCACACACAGGGTTCGGAAAAGTTTTTTGTGCCTGAATGAAAAGATTTTAGCTAGAAAATGATACTGCATGCCTCTAGGCCTTAAGGAATTATATGTTTTTGATATGTGTGTACTCACCTCAAATTGGTAGAGAATGATAGGTGACAATGATGCACTTTCTCCTTTGTGATTGCCGTATTTATACTGGTTTTAGAGTTATGAATGCTGGGAGGGTGTGAGCGAATGGACCACAGAAGATGGCTGGACTTGGTGTGCTGAGTTTCACAGCTGAGGGTGTTAAGCGATGTTGTATTTTCTTTGTTTTGAATATGCCACCTGCTAAGGACACTTGAGAAGCCTGCATCCTTTCAAAGAGGAGGCAGTGCTCAATATCTAGGCTAGCAGCTATCAAGATCATCAGTGACTGCAGAAAAACACTAAAAGATTATGGACGATACGCAACAAACAATTGAGCTTTTGAGAAGGGAATACTCCTTGACTCACAGTGAGTTTACAGGACTCTTCCAGTTCTATAGTCTTGTCCAGCTTCCCCTTCATGCAGTTTCTGTGGATGATACAGGCTTCATCAGCGTTTGCGTGCAGTATGCAACTACACATATATCACAGAGAGGAAGAAAGTTCTGCTTTTTTGTTTGTTTGTTTCTGTTGAAACACATGCACAGTCTTTGTGATTGCAATGGAGTCCAGTAGTGTAATCTCTCTGAAAAGAGTTTTAAAGCAATATGGAACTCGCTGTCAGACAGGTATTTTCTGACATGTTATGTGTGCCCCACACCCTTCTGAGTTAAACTTCAGCACTAATATTTTACCACTGGATTTGATAACAGAGTTTTCATGTGCAAACTAGACTAGAGACAAGTCTGCCATTCTCTAAACTTTTTGCTTTAGGACCAGCACTAACTTGCTTAAGCAAAGCTATTTCTCTATGAAATGGGATGTTTAAGTGACAAACTTTTATTCATTGAAAAAGCTTTAGTCATGAATGAAGGAATGAATCACAGAAAATCTCTGAACTAGCTTGTATTTATATGCCTTCATGTATACATTATGTACAAGAGGGCTGCAGCTCAATAAGCAAAGGATAAAATCTACTGTGACTATGCAAAGTAGTGGGAAAATGAAAAGTTATGTGTGTGGTTGCTTCTCGGCTAGGTAGTGTTTCTGTGAGAAATGTATATGAGTGTGTTGCAACAGTTCAATTTTTAATCAATGCAGACACCAAATATGGAATGCTCTTGATGTTTGTCATCCGCTGTGACTATTTATTTTTACCCTGCCTTTTAAATTGTGTTCTAAGTGTTACTGTCTTAGGGAAATTAAATAGCTGATGGAGTGCAAGAAAAGAAACAGAAGCGTCAAGTGACTCTGGATTGTGACCAGTATCTTTGAGTATTTGAGTTGCATCAGACTTTTATGCTAGCACAGGAATTGAAGAAACCTTGTCAGAAACCAAATGGTAAAAATGTCAAAGTACAGCTTTCCAAAAATCTCTGTGATCTTGATCAGGTTTGTGGCTAATTTATGCAGAATAATTTGGTGATTTTTTTTTTTTAACAACTGAGTGTCTCTCACCTGCAAGAGGCCTGCATGCTCTCTTCTTTAACTTCTAGTCTGTCAGTAACAGCCTCAGGCATGAGGTTTTTCATTAGATATTAGACTCTTGTCCTTTGAAGGAACAGGTACATATAGCATATCAAGAATACAGCACAGGAATTCAGGGACTACAGCAGATTTTCCTACTGGATTTTGTTGTTTGTTTAGCTGGTTGGATTGGTGTTTGTTTTTTTTTCTTTGTCATGGTGTTTTTGGTTTTTTTAGTTGAGGGAGGGGGTGTTTTTTGGAGGGTGTGGAGTGTGTTTAATATTCAGTGAGGGCTTTGATTTGATAGGTGCATAGGTAAAGTAGAGTAGGGCTGGACGACCCGCGGCTATGTGTGTTTTCTGTCAGTGAGAATCTAAACACTGGTTTTGCGTGGGTAGTCTTGTTGGACTTTGCGCATAAATGTAGTGATTCTACTCAAACTATCTGGGCCTGAACACTGTTTCTGGTATAGTCAGGATTGTAAGCTTCAAAATTCTTGTTATGTACATTCAGGAATTAAGATATAGAGAAGCATTAATTAGAGAAGAGACATGAGAGGAAGGCAACAGTGGTGCCTGTGGAGAAAAGAGCAGATATATTAGTTGTCTATTACCTCCATAACAGCTGTGGTGAGCTGCATGCTGGGTTAGAAAAATGGGATATTTTTTGAAACAAGGTACTAAAATAATTCACAATAGATACTTAATAGTCAGGACTCTATAGAGTTTTCTTGGTAAGACTGAGCAAGAGATTTTCTTTTCAAGACTGACAGTCCATTTTTCTTTCCTGCTTTCCTTTGTAAGGGGATTGATGTAAATGCCTTGTCCAGCTCTTTGGCTTCCAGTCATGTTTGCAGCTTCTGTCAGTGATTAATTAGGGATTATCTGTATGCCATCAATTTTCTGTTTGCTACTAATTTTTAGCATGTGTTTGAAACTGCAGATGTGGTCAAAAGCCTTTTAGATGGAGTGCCAAGTTACAAATGTAGATACAAATAATACCTGCAAAGTGCATGTGTTCCACTTCACAACTGTTTCTCTAGCTTTTTTAGTGCAAGGTGAATGAATCTGAGGGGAGGATACCAATCTAACAATCTTCCAAAAACAGTTTTTGTTTTCAGATCCCCCAGGGAAGTACACTTGAAGCATGTCATACTTGTTAACAAGCAATTTCTGTGTCTTTGAGTCATCTTAGCATTGTTTGCTTTTCCTTCCAACTTCGGGATCCATGAAAAATTGGCAGGGTTCCAGTACCGGTGGATATCTCTGCAGCCCTCAACACCAAGTGAATGGCTAAATAGTGGGACTAAATTAGGTGAAGACCCATTTGAAGTAGATGTAGCATTTCCAACTTACTAGCTGTATCATCGAGAGCTTCTGTCTGCCAGCTGAGTTAGGGAATCTGGCAAATTCCGTATATATTGCAGGATCTGCCTCTTAATACTGTTCCACTGTCAACTCTCATTTCTAACTAAACTGAGGTTAATTAACAGCTCTGGGAACTGGCTACGTTCCCTTGACTAGCCCTGTTCTTCAATTGTAGGTGAAGAGTTCAACTGTAGTTGAAATTCTTCTATTGTTTCCAGCAGATGATTCAAATAATGAGTGTGAGACATTCTGCCAGTTGCTAATTCTAAACTTCAATTAAATAATTTTTATATTGTGTACATATAAATATACTTAACAGAAAGATAATATACCTCCTCTGAGCAGTGTCAGATGTGATAGTCGATAGTATTACACTCTTCTATGGTGAAAAAGCTGCGTCTTACTAGTTTGTATAACTATAATATAGTTACTCCCTGCATTTATTTGCAGCCTGTAAGGGGTTTCCAATATGCTGTTGAGTAGCATCAGTATGAAAGTATTATGAGAGAGCGCTTTCATCCGTAGTCAACAAATCCTGTTCTGTCTCTCAGTGGATATTTGAACTAGACACTGCCTCTAACACTGAAGTTGTGTAGTACAGTGCCTGTTCACTTTTGTGCTCTCAATGCATGTCCTTGAATATTCTCCCTCGGCTAGGTATGACTTTGTTCTGTATACACGCACTCCTGTCTGTCCAAGTCTCTATCCTACTGAGATACAGGACTCTAGTTACCTTTTAGCGTTGGGTAATTTCTGAGTTTGAGTTAGTTCTACAGGAAACAAAGGGAAAAGGAAGTTGTTTTCTTCAAGGAGGGGGGAAATAATCCCTGACTAAAATAATCACCAAGACTGCTGGTTAGAAAGGAAGAATAACTATGTTGAACTCTTCTCAAACATTACAGATTCTGCGTAGATTAATTTGCTTTGTGCAGCTCTGTTTTGGAATCGAATCACTCAATAATCTGACTGTCTTTTTAAGTTAAAAACTAGTGTTGGCTGTATACATGTGGTTCAAGCAAAACTAGGTGTATTTTGTCTTTCAGATTTCCAGTTCATTCTATGAAATGAATAGACAAAGTTAATTAGTTTTTGTCACCTTGCAGAATCATAAATAACTGTAGAACAAGTTTTGTGTTTTTAAAATATGTGAATACAATGTTCTTGGGCAAATGCCTGCTGAGTAATGCAAGAATAACCTAATGTCTCTTTTTTTCTAAAGAACACCATGGCTTTTAGCATAGCACTTACCTGGATGAAATAAACCCGCTCACCTGTTGGTTAAAGGAAGTTGGTAGACCCGCTTGTTCCATGTTCTCTTGTCTGTGCTAGCAGTGGAAAAGATGACTGTAATGATGGCCGTCATACCAGAAAAGGAGTCAAGATTTCAACTTCACGAGGAAGCCATTCTGCAGCTGCAGACTATATTCTTCATATATTCACGTATATGTATTAGATTATTTCAGTGACCTAGAAGTCAGACTTACATAAGCCTTTTGTGGGGGGGGGAGGGACAGGAATGACATACTTTCTCTCACAAGTATTTAACTGAACTCTGCAAAGGAATACACTAGAAATGCTTCCTTTCGTATGAGCTCATCAGTTCATGTTTATACTTAATTAGAAAATCTCTCTTTTAAAGTTATTAGAATAACTAAAATTGTTATTTTTCATACAGATTACACTTTCCTTCAGTTCTTTCCATCTTTCCAATACTTTCTGGTGTGTTTTATTAGAAAACAGAAAACTTTTGGAATAAAAAGAAAGAAGTGTGTATGTGGGAGAGAGAAGGGAAGCTTTTTGGTTGCCTCTTCTGATGTCTATTTAGATAGCGGTTAAAAATCCACCTTTATGACCAGTAAAACAAAAGTGTGCACTTATACTGGGCTAAAGTCTGAGCTTCTAACAGAGTAAAAGTTGTATATTTTTCAGTTACTAGAGAAAATGCTTTTCAGTTTTCTTTTTATAGCTATGTTGTCTGACCTTGCTCTATTATTAATGGCTGATGTAAACTGTGGTTGTGCCATCTTTCAATTAGGTATCCTACAGGTTTCACAGAATACTAATCTGGAAACTAATATTTTGAGAAAAGGCGCAGCATGCGTACAATCTGTACATATATTTTGGTATTCTTCCAGTGCTGTGCTATTACTCTTTCTAACAATAAAGACATAAGGTAAGCAGAAAGAGAAGTGACTGTGTCAGCCTCAGAGAAGGCAAAGATGTTCAGAGTGCTAGCCTGGGACTTTGGGGAGTAAGTTTCAATTTCATTTTAAGTGGCAGACTTTACCATGGTGAAAAGCAATGTCATTTACTCTTGTGATACTTCATTTTTATACTCCTTTTGTGGAACTGATCTTCTGTGTCTTGCAGGGCTTTTCTGAAGTTAAATATTTTCACTATGTAATCTCTTTCACAGTATGAGGTGCCATGTCAGTACTGAAGCCTTAATCGTAAAGATAATCTTCCTCATTTAGATTGGCATTTTGGCTCATGAATACTCTTGGGCACCCAGAACGATCAGATCTGCAAATGTAAGAGATCTGCGGAAAAATGTGCAGTAGTATCTTCCCAGACTAGGACCTATGAACTTAATCAGAATGCTAGATATACAATGCAGGCTTTCAAATTCTCTGTCTCTTTCAGAACGCCTTGTAGTCTCTATTATGACCCATCTTTAATCTTTTCAGTCTTACGCAGAGCACAGACTCCCATGGAAATTGCATCACTCGTCTGGCATTTCCTTGTTTGCTTTTGTGATAACTGCTTGTCAGCCAGCAGATTTCTCAGGTGTGGCTTGTATGAAATGAAGTTGTCACCTATTTTTCCTGCTATCCTGTGTGTGTTGCGAGGACAGGGGCTGGTCCAGCAAAAGCACAAATGCCACAGTCTCTGACCTCTATTTGTTCCAATGTGCTGTATGTAATTCCTTGTGGGTTGACCTGAGATGCAGGTCATGAAATGCTTTCTGATGCAGCTTCTGTTAAGTTGCAAGACTGAGTCGCACCTGGATCCCCGCTGCTGTCCAGAATGGCCATAAGTGTCAACCTGCCTGTGGTGGGGCACTTAAGCTAAAAATCTGTCAATTGGAGGATGATGTTGAAAGCAGCAGCCTGGCCTCAAAAAGAGAACTGCTACCAGTCATGCTCACAGGGCAACAAAGACAGCTTTCCTGCAGCAGATGTAGGGGTTAGCTGAGGCTGGGATTCGGAGTGGTCTGGAGTCCCCTGTTCATTGTTTCTCTTCAACTGGTCCGCTGCTCTGTGTAGTGGCCCTGTCTGCAGTAAGAATATGTTGCCGTGTGTGCAGCAGCATTAGAACAAAGAGGATGGAGGCCATATTCACAACAAAGTGGCAGGAACTTTGTTAGGAAAGGAAAAAGGAGTAAGTAGAACAGGATTCTCACCCGGTTTAGATGTGAAGAGTATCTGCCATCTTACAAAAGACAGATCTTGCTGAAATGGCTTCATCCTCCATCTCGGAGGAAGTGAAGTGTACTGAGCTAGGGTGGTGCTTTAGCAGTACTTTGGGATGCAAATATTGAAGGTGGCACTTCATTAACTGTAGTGAGTCGTAGCATTTGCGTGGACTGAAGTTTAGGCTTGGCTTGGCAAAATCCCAATTTTGGCAAACCCTCCAGTGTAAACATAATTTTGCCGGCATAGAAGTGTGTGATCAGATCAGCTCTCATGATGGTACTTAAGGAGGTGGCATGATAGTTCATTTCAGGATAAACTGCCTCTCATTGCAGGGCTTAGCCAACAGCTGTTCTGATGTAGTGCTATAGGCCATGCTTTGTATAATAGCAGTGACATAGATCACTTGCTAAATAAGTAGAGGCCTTGTAGTGTAGATAACCCATTAATATTTATTTGTATTGTTTTCTGGTCATCCTTGAATGAAAAGGAGATTGTCTTCTACTTCCTGTGGGAATAGTACCAACTGAAAGAGGCTACATCACTATTTCTGAACTGTATGCAGGGAAGCTATTTAGTAACTATGTAGCTGCATTACTCCATTATATAAAGAATTTATGTTGTGTATTGTTTCGGTTTCGGCTGCCGCCGGCAACAAAAGCGCCACGTGGCTGTCCCTCCCCCCGCTGGGGTTCGGAGGAGAATGGAAAGAAACAGGCAGAAACTGGTGGGTCGGGATAAGGGCAGTTTAACAGAACAGCAAACA